GCTCCACAATCGTATTATTAATCTAATATAAGAGGTGACACTCACCATGGGGGCAGCAACAACCAGCATGACGCAGCACGTCGACGCCCTCCCCCCAGTGTAGTCAGACACAAGGCCAGCCAAGATGCCTCCTGCAGACACAAAGACAGTTCAGTCAGATTATTGTGAAAAGTTTTTCCTTCTTCCCACAAATATTTTCAGAGTTACGGTCTCTTGAACTATACGGGCGGGTTGAAAATTTGACACCTTTTAAGTTGTCTTATTTTTTCCACAATTGTTGAACCCCCATAATTGTTTAAGAGCAGGAGATACCTGCATGAAATGTTCACAACTGAAAAACTTCACATCTACCTCACCGTCACCACCCACTCAAACCTCACAACCTGAAATCTTGCCTAAATTCAGAATCCTTTTGTTCTATCGCTATCACTGAGCATGGATATTATGCGATATATTATACTTTGAATAGTAAAAACTGCACAATTTAAAGGTTAATTAAAGGTTATTTAAAGGTTTAAAGTTAAGATTTTGACTGCATAAAATTGGGAGATTTTAATATTAAGAATTCATTAAAAACCAAGTGTTCAAAAAAGTTTTTAGTTTTAATTTTAAAGATCTTTGTTTCTACAGAAGACTAAGATATCACTACTTGTAATTGTTTATAATTAGTTTAATATAACTATATATGTATTATATATTTATTATATTTTTACTTACTGCATAGTTTTCACCTTTGTATATTTCACTTGTATTTATCCCCGTTACAGCTGTTGTTGTTTGTACTCAGAGTTTGGTCTTCAGGTCTCCCTCATGTTTCCCTGAACCATATCTGACCATCTGTCTCTGTGTTAGGTATCCCTGTCTCGCTTTTTCCTGTATTATTTTCGTAACCTTTGTCTCATGTGTTTAACATTCAGTTTTCCTTTCCTAGTCTTGTATCCCAGATTTGTACCAGCTGTGTTCCCAGGTGTTTCTCATCTTCCTTATTATCTTGTGTTTATTTATAACCTCAGTTCTCCCTTTGCCCTTCCTCTTGTCGTCCCTCAATGCTCTGCACCTCCTTCTCCTGTGTTTCATGATATTTCTGATATTTTGGTTTCCTATTGTGCAAACATTTTTACTTTCAGCATTCCTTTAGGGTTACAGGAATAAAGCTAAAGTCTTGAGTTTATTTTCTGCATTTGGGTCCAAATCCCGCCTGTCACACAGCCATATGTGACACAGTCACACTGCAGTGATGCATTTTTGCATCATGTTCTGCATATTTATTTCTGACAAAAACTGAACTGACTGAGTGATTTTACAAATCCAACAAGACTCAAAGCTTACCCAAGATTCCTCCGACATCAAATAATGTTGACATATCTCCTGCTTCTTTTGCCTCAAAATGTGCTAAAAAAACAAAAAACAAAACAAATGCATTAACTCTTAAAACTGCTTTAAATCACGTGAACTGATCATTAGGTTATCTTAATAGTAAAATGATGTGTGTAAATACTGACCAACATTTGAGATGTAGAGAGGAAGCCAGTAGAGGAAGGTGTAGCTGACCAGTTTGGCAAAAAGCAGACAGAGCGAGAACTCCACCACGCCCTGAGAGACAGAAAACATCATGAAAAAACCCCAGAAGCAACTTAAGTGTCTGTCATCCTGTAATTCACCGTTAACCATCAGAGAGGTGCAACACAGGTGGAAATCAAACACCCTCCCCTTCGGATACAATGACAGGAGCAGACTTGCGTGTCAAATCCATGCACAGCTCTGACTCTTTCTCATGAACCCACAGTGAGGACATCGCTTAATTCCAGTTTATTCAAAGTCATTGGGAAATGACTGTGAGTCACCTCATGGGTTCTGAATTTAAGTGCACATATGATTGCAGATGACTATGGTTTCTCCTAGTTCCCTAGGAGATGTGTATCCATGTATCTATGCTTAACTCATTCACTGCTCAGGACCTGTTCATGCAAACCTGTCTTCATACCACTGATGAATAGCTGATCACAAAGAAAGAGGTGACTCATAGAAACAGTTTAACAGTAACAAACAGCAGAAATTCACCATGTTATCAATAATAATAACCAGGCATACTGAAGAGTGGAAAAGTTATAACTCGTTTCTGATCAGGACTATTTGCACTGGCTAAATTTATAGAGTTCCAGTTAAACTGCAACTTTATAACTCTTATTTTGTCTTATTTTTCCTAACATATACTCACGTAAATTCCTAATCATTATCTTTGATTCACATTTAACGTTATTCCAACAGAATCATTGCTGTTTCCAG